CAGAGCCCTCAACAAAGTCACTGTTAAGAACAATTATCCAGTGCCGCTTGTTGACGAATTATTTGATAGATTGGAAAAGGCGATTTTCTTCACCAAGATGGATTTGCAATTGGGATATCATCAAGTCAGAATTACAGAGGGAGATAAGGCAAAGACTGCTTGTGTGACAAGGTATGGATCATATGAGTTTTTAGTCATGCCTTTCGGCTTAACCAACGCCCCTGCTACATTCTATAACTTGATGACCAATGTATTTCGGGAATACTTGGACCGTTTCATGGTGATTTATTTGGACGACATAGTTGTTTACAGCCAGACTCTTGAGGAGCATATTGAGCATCTTAGGCTGGCCTTGACAAAGTTAAGGAAAGCCCAGTTGTATCTGAAACCAGAAAAATGTGAGTTTGCCCAGAAGGAAATTTCTTTCCTTGGGCATATTATTTCTGCGGGCGTGGTAAAGATGGACCCGAAGAAAGTTGAGGCCATTGCAGATTGGCCTGTCCCTACTAAGGTTACTGAATTGCGTTCTTTCCTTGGTTTGGTAAACTATTATCAAAAATTTGTGAAGAACTATTCAATGAAGGTCGCGGTGCTGACTGATCTTCTAAGGAAGGATAAGACATGGAACTGGTCCTACGAATGCCAGGAGGCATTCGATCGATTGAAGGCCGTGGTGACGTCTAGTCTAATTTTATGGTTACCCGACTTTGATTTGTCTTTTGAAGTCCATACAGACGCATCAGACTTTGCTCTTGGAGGAGAGCTGGTGCAGAATGGGCATCCGATGGCATTTGAAAGTAAGAAGTTGAATGATACCGACAGGCAGTATTCAGTATATGAGAAGGAGATGACAGCAGTCATTCACTGCATTAATGCATGGAGGCATTACTTGTTGGGGAAGCATTTCCTTGTATTGACAGATAATGTGGCTACCAGCTGCTTCAATTCCATAAAGAAACTGACACCAAAACAAGCAAGATGGCAGGACTTTCTTGCCCAGTTTCATTTCACGTTGCAGTACAAGCCTGGCAGTGCAAATCAGGTTGTTGATGCTCTCAGTCGAATCCCAGTTGCTGATGGGACGATTGCTGCACTTAGCCAGATTGCAGGAGACATACTGTAGAGAATTCAAGATCAGACAAAAGATAATCCAGTGACCAGCTTATTGTTGAAGCAGGTTCACGAAGGGGTGACTCGGCGATTTTAGGTAGAGGATGGTGTTCTCTACGCCAAAGGAAGGAGACCCTATGTTTCGAAGTCAGACGGACTTCAACAGATGTTGCTGAAAGAAACTCATGATGCTCTATGGTCAGGACATCCAGGGCAGCAACGGACTCTTGCCTTGCTAGCAGAAAGCTATTATTGGCCCCATATGGAAGCAGATATGGAACTGTATGTGCGCACTTGTTTGGTATGCCAGCAAAACAAGATAGAACCCCTCCCTATTCCAAGCAGACCTTGGGAGAGTATTTCCATGGACTTCATTAATGGCTTGCCTCAGGTGAACGATTTTACTTCGATATTTGTGGTTGTAGATAGATTTTCGAAGTATGCCACTTTCATTGCTGCCCCAAAAGTATGTACGGTAGAAGTTACTGCTCAGTTGGTCCTCAAGCATATTGTGAAGCTTTGGGATCTTCCGCTGGACATAGTCAGCGACAGGGACACTCGGTTTACTGGCTGGTTCTGGACAGCCTTATTTGAACTGTTGGGCATACAGCTCAACCTTTCCACCAGCAATCATTCACAGACAGATGGGAAGACTGAGCGGGTTAATGCAATGCTGGAGGAATATCTCAGACACTATGTCACAGTGAACCAGGACAATTGGGTGGATTTAGTTGATGTAGCCCAATTCAGTTATAACCTCCAACAGAGCTCTTCCACTGGAATGAGCCCATTTGAGTTGGCAACTGGCCAACAGCCTCTTACCCCGCATGAAGTTGTCAAGCAAAAGTCTCAAGGGAGATGTTCTGCAGCATAGCGCTTTGCTCGGGCCAATCAGGAGCGGACCGACGAGGCAAAAGACTGTTTAACTAAGGCGGTGAAGAGGATGAAAAAGTGGGCAGACGAGAAGAGGAGGGCAGTAGAGTTCGAAGTGGGTGACAAAGTGATGCTGAAATTGATCCCACCAATCTGGAACAAGATCTCTCGAAAGTCTGCACACAAGGGACTAATCCAACGCTATGACGGCCCTTTCCTTATAACAATGAGGATTGGTAGGTTGGCCTATAGGCTGGATCTTCCCAGTCGTCTCAAGCTTCATCCAGTTTTCCATGTTGCCTTCTTGAAGCCATATATTGAGGACTCGGAGGACCCTAACAGATACGTTCGGCGTCGGGCTCCTTCAACAATCAGGAAGCAATTCATAGAAATAGCTGAAGCTATCCTTGACCACAAGACTGAGGGAATGAGTAAGAAAAATAGAAGAACTCATTACCTAGTCAAGTGGAAAGGGAAAGCGTCGGAGGAAGCCACTTGGGAGAAAGAGATGACATTGTGGCAGTTCGAGGATCTCATCAAGCAATACCATGCCTCCATTCCAACGAGGTCGTTGGTTACTTCAGGTGGGGGTGGCTTGTCACACCCTAACTGACTTGGGTGCAAATAGCCGGTCTTAGTGGCACCTTGCACCAAGGCATGTCATAAGTTAGAATCAAAGTGATGCGGCTAAGTGGTTCGACAGATTGGGGCAAACCAAGGCAGCATGAGAACACCCGGTTGAGTATAGCAGCACGTGGCGGGCTCAATTGAAGCAATGTGGGTGCATAGCTTCGGATTGCATGGCATGGGTTGAACCCAACATGCACATTGGTTCGTGAAGCAAGGCTGGTTACTGAATGTGGGAACATGATTGGCACATGGCAGTTTAATGCATGAGACCAGGAGGATGTGGGCAATTACAGATGTTGAGACACAGTCAAAGCAGTTGCTGAGGCAGTTCTGGTCGTCCCTAGTCTGAATCCAATCCAGATGCATGCTGATGAAGGGCAGTTCCACATCAGTTACTGAAATGGGTGGAACTACCTGCCAGGTGTCGCACAGAGACCAAGCATGCTAGTCAAGTATGCTATGGAATAGCAAAAACGTGTGTAACTACCCCTTGGCAGATGGGGGTGTCATCTGTCTTACTCCTGTATAAATAAGGGTGCTTAAGCATTCTGATAGGCAGAGAGTGTTCTGGCTTTGAGAGTTCCTTGTAAATTGTTGAGTTCAATATATAAGGTTTGGAAGTTTTGTCTCAATAAATTCGTGTGTGCCTTCTGTGTGAGTTTCTGTCCCTTAGTCTTGAGTTTGTGTGTGGCTGGTTGCAATAGCAACGCCTTCACAGGTAGTCTCGAAAGAAAAACGAAAGTTATCCCGTGACAATTAATGAGGTCCAATCTTCGAACTTCATTAGCAACAAAATGAGATTTTTTTGTGGCAACTATAAAACTCCCTTTTCTTCCTTTTTTTTCCTGTCTCTTTCCCTTATATGTCTCTCTCTATCGCTCGTCTCTCTCTCTCTCTCTCGATACCTCCTCTGAAACCCATTGTCACGCAGACGAAGAATTGCCTCTTTCTGAAACCCACTATCACGAAGATAAAGACAAGAATATGAAAACGAAATCAAACACGAAGAAGAAGACGAAATCAAATACAAAGACGAAACTTACACATAGATTTATATATATTCATAGATTTGTATATATCTATGTATATATATATGCATAGATCTACATATATGTTGTTATATATTCATAGATCTACTTGTGTGTGTGTGTATTTGTGTTTGTGTGTGTGTGTGTGTGTGTGTTGTATATATGGATCTGTGTATAATTTGTGGAAGTATGTTTCTATAATTGTGTTTGTATATTTGTATGTGTGTGTGTGTGTGTCCCAGCGAGATCACCTCGTGTGTGTGTGTGTGTGTGTGTGTATTTTGTGTATGTCTGTGTGTAATTTGTGGAAGTATGTTTGTGTAATTGCGTTTGTATGTGTGTGTGTGTGTGTCTGCAAGATCATCTCGTCTATGTGTGTGTGTGTGTCCCAGCAAGAATGTCTCCAATTGAGACATTTATTTGGAATTAAAATATTAACCAAAATAACAACAATAAAATATTATCCAAAACATATAATATCAAACATGTTTTAAAAAAAAATTATAATTTTTTAAATATAAATGACTATCAAATATATTTTATATTTTTAATTTTTATCACAGAAAAAATAAAAACTAGTTTTGGTTTTTTTTTATATATAAAAAAAAACTTAAAAATGAAAACGTTACTAAACGAACCTTAATTTTTTGTAAAAACCATTAGATCGGACATGATTTGCACTTTCATAAGTAAGAGTGGGGGTTAAGTGCAATTCATAATTGTTGATGGATGTGATGTTCAAGTGACTTTAAGTGCAAGCAGGCTTTGTGTAATTTACCCAAAATTCAATAGCGAGTAGACTAGACTCTCTAAATATAGAGGGCTAAATTAAATTTTCTATTTTAACTGGTCTAAATAAAGAGTCTACTCAACTTGGACTTGATTTTTAATAATCAGCTCTTCACAATAAAGCGTCGAGTGTTAATAGGGGGTGTATTTGAGATGCTCTAATTTCACATTCTAGTAAGTGTACTTTGATCTTTAATAGGTATAACTTAACATTTAAAATTTATAATTTTTAAAATCGATTATAATATTTTGTGAACGATCACAATATTTAAACAATTATGCCTTTAAAATTATAATTTACACTTTAAAAATTATAACTTCAGTCATAAAACGATATAACTTTTGATATGGTACATCATTCAGTATCGTAGTCATCCTCGCAAGAAAATTAGAACATTTTATCTTGGTCTTTTGAGAACAAATATGAACAGTAGAAAATAACTCATCATGCTGACATTTTTTTCCCTTCCCGCATACGGCTATGCCACAAACTACATACAACCAGAACTTCAGGTAGCTAAGTCATGGCCAAAACATACTGACAAAACTCCTTAGATCAACATCTAAAAATATAAAAAATGAAGATAACACGTCTATTATGAATAAATCAATAATGGATCCAAGATCATCAATTCGTTTTATACAGATTTTTGCATCTCAGGAAAAACAAGTAACACAATGCCGACATGCCACCAAAGCTTAGACAAGAACACATAGATGTGATAAACAGCATAAAAAGAATAACTAGGATGAAGAAAATGAATGAAACGCCAAAGCTTTCATAATTGGAACTGCCCTACACTCCTAAATCATTTACTCTTCTCAGCTGATTTTGATCGAGGTAGTGTTCCGAACACCTTGTCCCATAGGGAGGAAGTGATACCAAAGCCCTTGTTCTGGATGCGAAAATGATGATTTAGATGATATTTCTGCATAACAAGGAACCGAAATCAGTAGAAACACAATAATCATAAGACTCTTTTACTTTGACAAATTCACCCTACAACCACAATATATAGTTTCTCATAGGGTGGAAGAACCAAATTTAGGTATTTCAATGGTCCTAAACTTTGTTGCATATTCACGCCACAAGGACATATCACAAGGTAACATTTATTGATCTAAGTAATGACGATCCAGAATTGACTCTATGTATCTACTAGGATACATAATGTTGAATTCTCCTAGGGATGTGGAAAAGTATGAATTGATGGATTTATTTATTTCATAAAATAAATCAAACTAAGGAATTGAAGAGACATGGTTCATCTGATTAGTTAGCCAGACTAGAAAGCAAGTTGTGGATATGAAGATTCCCTTTGAAAACATGCAATGGTAATATCTCTTTACCTTAAGATTTCGAGGTACTTGACTGGTTGGCTGTCCATGATGCAAGTAGTAATGAGTGACATCATACATGACATAACCCAGCAAACCACCTCCAAATACAGCAGGAGCCACAGAAGGAGTAGACATGACTTGAACCAAGTTCCAGAACTGGCAACGATGGAGAACAGGCAGTAAGAAGGAATAGAAAACCAATCAAGAATATTTTTGACATGCTCATGTTCCGTACATCAGTGCTTATTCTATGTTTGGTGCAAAGTAAGCTCCTTTGTTCTTTTCAAACTAGCTGGCTTGGCCAGCATTCACATACATTGTTCTTCGAACACAAAATTCGTAAAAGCGAGTAGTGGACTGTGTCCAAAGCCAGACCCAAAAAACAAAAAACTGTGTCCCAATGATTGCAACACAAACCAACTGACTTGGCGAATTCACTGTATGAAGGACAGAATTGGCAGTAGGAGCGTTAATTAAGCTGAGCCTTGAGCTTTGATGTGCTCAGGATCAGCTTAAGTCTATCACAGCTCAAGCTCAAGTGAATTCTTGCTCAAGCTCATATTAGTTTCTAAATCATATGCTCAAGTTTTCTGTTCTTTGATCCTTTTCAGAGTGTGAGCTTAAATTTGTGCTCAGACTTGAGCTTAAAGATTTAATCATGCTTGAGTCATTTTCGAATTGATCCAAGCTGAACAACCCAACATTGAAATGGGCACAAATTGAGCTCAGATGGTTCGGTTTATTCAACAGCCAGAAGTTACCACATCCACATAGGTCAACAATAATAGAGATGACAACTGATAGTTGACAGGAAGTCATAAATAGCAAGATCATTTAGATAATAGCTTCCATTTGCAGAAACTAAGGATCACCGGCAGGTACCATATAATCTAAAGAAAGGAATTCAAGGCCACGTGTCAAAGAGGGAACACAAACAGTAAGAGTCAAAAACAAAGATGATTTCAGGTCATATAATTTCTCGGGAAGAACAAATAGAGGAATAGTGAAGAACAAAACATACTGGTACACACAGAATAGCTGTTGCAGCAGGAGGGAAAACAAGGCGTAGGCCATCCATGGGGTGCTTATGATGACAACCATGAAGAAGATAATGAATGGTGTTTCCCCTGTAAAAGATTTTGACAATAATAGTGGAAAGAATGTAAATTATAAGACAGACACACACACCCATATACTGAGAGAGAGAGAGAGAGAGAGCTAACCAATAGCTCTTTGTCTTGATGTGAAAAAGGAAGCGATGCAGAGTATATTCCAGAAATGTCCATATAAAAATGCCAGAGACCACCATTACCGCTACCTGAGGAAGTGTGTGGCCCATCCGTAACGACATGGAGATTGACCAGCATACAACAGGGAGCCAAATGAGTGGAATTACCCACCATGCTGTGAGGGTTAGAAACTGTTTTATAACAGAAACGAGTCAATTGCAGCTTTATGTATTGCCATATCATACAAGTCAAAATACATTGCCTTATATTGCACCTGATATTCCAAAAGCCAACTTAGATGCATAGAGCACAAATGCACGGACACTAATGTATGTGAGTAAAGTGTGAACCTATGGCTCTATACTAGTTCTTATGTTCAACGACAAAAGTAATACCTCCCAAAAATCACTTTCAAAAAATCTAGGGCCTTCCTTGCAAACTATGGGCTGGTGAACCCACTCCTGATAAGCTTCTCCAAGATGGCCAACCTGTGAAAAATTCCATCCAGTTACAAGGACAGTGGAATAAGCAACCATAAGTATACTGAAGTGCATCAAATACAAATGAAGGCATGAGCAGCAAAGTTTACCTGAAAGACAAGGGGTTTATTCAAATCTACTACAAAGCCCTGTGCAACCATCTTGGCGGCTTACAATCCAACAGATATCACTATGAATGGAAACAAGGAAAAGGCAGAAAGTTAAGCAGGTGACCAAACTCATAAAAGCTTAAATAGCACATAGATTACATAGGGAATGGTTGAACATTCGAAACATGTAAAAAAATGTAATCACATTTGTTCCCAGATACTGATAGATGTTTTTAATTTTTTGAAGAATATATTTTTCATATATTGAGAAGTCATGGGGCAATAATGGTTTGTCACTCATTGGTCAGATCATGCTTGCAAGTTCCTTTTCCGACCTTTTTAATCATAGATTATAGTTGTGAAGCACATAAACGGGAAACATACTCTCTTGTTTATGATACGTAATTTGACATTATATTCCCCATCTAGTCGGTGTTTCTGGAAATGTACATTGGATTTTTTTTCAATTCTGAATCCAGTTGTCTCTGATGGAGGATAAATGTATATGAGATACAGTCAGGGGCTATCTTAGGATCTCAACTTAGGGAGTGCACAAAACCTACACAGATTTTCTAAAACCAGCCCCGTAATAACTGATAGAGTGCCTTGACCAATGCTATTCTCACCATCATTATTATTGTTACTATCATTACTTTTGTTGAGAGACCAATGGTATTTCCATTTTACGATGAATATCAACATCATAGCCTACATTTGAATGTCACTAAAAGCAAGCAAATTTTACCAAAACAACAGGGTGACATGCCTTCAATGCAAAAAAAGTACACAAAGCCAAAGAAACTAAGAAACAAAGCATAACAAGTTTAATAGAGTTATATACATGACAGAATTTACAATTTAAGGAGACAGCCACCATGAGATCATTTGATTTTGTTAAGAATAGTAGGATAGTATGTGTAAATTGTTAATAGTAAGAGGGTGTATGTGTAATTCTTATTATTGTAGGTTAACTATAAATACAAGTGATGTATGAGAGCTAGGTGAAGTTTTTAACCTCTTTTTCTCTCTAATATTGTGTTATGTTAATTCTCTCAACTTAACATAGTATCAGAGCATTACGATCATAAATATATATTTTGAATAAATTAATTTTTTGTTCGTTGGTATTGTTGTGGACTATGTGGTGGTGTTTGTCAATTGTTTGTGGTGTACTGTTGCTACAGTGCCGTTGTCTGTCGTTGCTTGTTGTGGTGGTGAGGTGCAGCCGCTGGTTGTCGCGTGTTATGGTGGTGAGGTGCAATCGTTGATTGTCACCGTTGGTTGTCAAGTGTTGTGGTGGTGAGGCGCAGTAGGTCCAGTTGTTGGTTGTCGCCATTGGTGGTCGTGTGTTGTGGTGGTGAGGCGCAGTCGAAGGTCGAAGAGAAGCCAGTGCAATCAAAGGATCTGGACTTTGGAACCCTAATTAGCGAAGAAGACAGGATCCAAACTACTTCAAGTCAACCCAGTCAAGTTTGGTCCTAATCCAACCCTCAAGCCCATTGTTCTTAAATTATTTTAAATCCAAACCAAACCCAAGACTTGGTCCAGCCCACAATCCAGCTTAGGCCGATTCGGTTCAGTCCAGTTCAGAGGTCCAGGAGCTCCAGCCGATCTGGTTTAGAGGTCCAAGAGCTCAAGCCAGCCCGGTTCAGAGGTCTAGAGCACTTAACCAGTCCAATTCTGTCTTCCAGCCCTATTTTCCAGTCCGATTCAAGACTCCAACAACCTTAACAGGCCCAGTTTAGCGGTCCAGGCCAGTTTTCCAGGCCGGTTCAGGACTCCAGTAGCTTTAATAGGCCCGATTCAATGGCTTAGGCCGGTTTACCAAACCAGTTCAGTATTCTAGCAACCTTAACAGGCCCAATTCAGCGGTCTAGCATCCTCTTTTCTTCTGATTCAGCATTGTAACACTTCTTATTTTCTATTTGCCGCACTGTTATGGGATCTAAGCAAGACACTGGATTGGTTACTATTACTCGAGAGGAGTATGCACAGTTTCTATCCCAGCAACAGGTTGTTCCATCTCCCTCCACTGCTACTTTTGCCCAGTCAGGTATTGCTTCTACTTGTTTATTGTCCTCCAATCACAATCCCTGAATCATAGACTCTGGCGTTTCTGATCACATGACTGGTGCGTCTGATATTTTTTCTACTTATCAATCTACTCTTTCCACACGTAGTGTTCCTCTTGCTAATGGCACTTATTCTAAAGTTTCAGGTTTGGGGACTACTAACTTGAGTTCTGATATGTCCCTATCTTCCGTATTATTTATTCCTCAGTTCCCTTTTAATTTACTTTTCATTCGCAAGATTACTCGTTCTCTCAATTGTTCTGTAACCTTTTATCCTTCTTATTGTGTCTTTTAGGATCTTAAGACGAAGAGGAAGATTGATAGGGGAAATGAAGTTGGTGGCCTATATTACTTTGATTTTGATTCACCTACTCGGACTCTACAAATCTCGTTGTCTCCTTTTCAGTGGCATTGTCGTTTTAAACATCCCTCTCCCCAGAATCTGAAACGCCAAGTTCCCAGTCTTAGTTCTGTGTCGTCTTTGTCTTATAAAGCTTGTCAACTTAGTAAACATCACCGTGTGTCATTTCAGTCTCGAGTCAATAATCGTGTGTCTAGTCCATTTGAGTTGGTACATTCTGATGTATGGAGTCCAACAAAGAATATATCATCTAATAAATATCCCTATTTTGTGTTATTTGTGGATGACTATTCTCGTGTGACTTGGTTGTTTCTGATGAAATCTCGGTCTAAATTATTCTCTATATTTGAGATCTTTCGTAAGGAAATAAAAACTCAGTATGGTAGTCGTATCCGTACTTTACGTTCTAATAATGCTCGGGAATATGAATCTAATCATTTTTGAACTTATTTTAATAAAGCTGGCATTATTCATCAGACTTCTTATGCTTGCACATCTCCACAGAACGGTGTTGCTGAACGCAAGAATCGTCATTTGTTGAAAGTCACCTGTGCTCTATTATTCCAGATGAATATTCCCCTATATTTTTGGAGTGATGTTGTTCTTACTGCTTGTCACCTTATTAATCGTATGTCATCCTCTGTGTCAAATGGACAAAATCCATATTCTATCCTTTTTCTTAGTAAACCCTTATTTTCCATGACTCCTAAGGTTTTTGGATGTGTTTGTTATGTTCATAATTTGGGTCCTAAATTTGACAAACTTGACCCTCGAGCTACCAAATGTGTATTCCTTGGTTAATCTCGCACGCAGAAAGGGTATCATTGCTACAATCCTTCTCTGCATCGATTCTTTACTAATGCCGATGTCACGTTTAAAGAATCTGTTTCATATTTTCCAACACCTTCTCAACCTTTGGATCTGGACTTTGGATCATCTCATGTGCCACCATCTCTTTCCTCATCTTCAAATATTTCGCTGCCCATTATGTTACCATCGACTTTATCTCTCCGTGTCTATTCTCGCCGTCCTCGCCCATTGACTGAGGTACCCGTACCATTTTCCTTGCCGCCTTCTGATCCTAGTACATCAAATAATTTAGACTCTTTACCTATTGCTCTTCGCAAAGGTACTCGTTCGTATGTTACTAATCATCTCATTTTTTATTTTGTTTCATATGATGTCTTGTCTCCAGTCTTCTCTTGTTTTACTTCCCAATTATCTGTTATATCTATTCCTAAGCATGTACAGGATGCATTATATGATCCGGGTTGGAGAAAAGCTATGGAGGAGGAGATGAATGTTTTACATCATAATGGGACTTGGGCTCTCGTTCCTTTACCTCTTGGTAAACAAACTATTGGCTGTCGTTGGGTGTATACTGTTAAATTTCATCCAAATGGTTCTGTGGAGCATCTCAAAGTCCGACTTGTTACAAAGGACTTTACTCAGACTTATGGTGCTGATTATGAGGACACTTTTTCTCCTGTTGCCAAAATTTCTTCTATTCGTATCTTGATTTCTTTGGCTGTTAATCCTGATTGGCCCTTGTTTCAGTTAGACATTAAGAATGCCTTCTTACATGGTGACTTGATTGAAGAGGTATACATAGAGTAGCCACCTAGGTTTACTGCTCAAGGAGAGTATGGTAAGAGTGTATGTCGGTTAAAGAAATCTTTGTATGGTTTGAAACAGTCACCGAGGACATGGTTTGGTAAATTTTCAGATACAATTTTAGACTTTGGTCTTCTTCGATGTCAGACAGATCATTCTGTGTTTCATAGACAGACAAATGCTGGATATGTCCTATTGGTGGTCTATGTAGATGATATTGTGATTATTAAAAATGATTCTGAGGGGATTGTTAAGTTAAAAATATTCTTACAGGATCGATTTCATACTAAGAATTTGAAAAAACTCAAGTATTTCTTAGGTATTAAGGTAGCTCGATCTAAACAAGGTATTTATTTATCCAAGAGAAAATATGTACTTGACATGCTTGAGGAAGCAGGTTTGCTCGGTGGCAGATCTATTGATGTTCCTATGGATCCGAATCAGAAACTTTTGATGGATGATGGTGCACTGTTTGAGAATCCAGGTCGGTATCGCAGATTGGTTGGAAAGTTCAATTATCTCACTATTACTCGATCGGATATTTCCTATGCAATCGGTATAGTAAGTTAGTTCATGGGGTATCCTAGAGTACCATATTGGGAGGCAGTTACTCGTATTCTACGATATCTCAAATGTGCTCTTGAACTTGGACTATTATATCGAGCTAATGGATATCTTAGAGTGGAAGGTTTCTCAGATGTTGATTGGGCTGGCTTTCTTTCTGATCGGAGATCAACCACTGGTTATTGTACTTTCTTAGGAGGTAACGTTGTCTCATGGAAAAGCAAGAAACAATTCGTGGTAGCGAAATCCAGTGCTAAGGCTGAGTATAGGGCAATGGCGCATACGACGAGTAAGTTGACTTAGCTACTACACTTCTTCCAAGAAATTGGGTTTCCAGTTCAACTTCCTTTACAATTGTTTAATGACAACCAGACAGCTATCCATATCGCTGTCAATCCTGTGTTTCACGAGAGAACCAAACATATTGAAGTTGATTGTCACTTTATTCGGGACAAGATAGTAGCCGAGGAGATTACAACTCCATTTGTGAAATCTGAAGATCAGCTTGCAGATATGTTTACCAAAGTATTGAGTCGTACACATCTTACAACTATTTGTTCTAAACTTGAATTATATGATATATATAGTCCAGCTTGAGGGAGAGTGTTAAAAATAGTAAGATAGTATGTGTAA